ACGGCCGCTGCAGGGGCCCAAACGTCGGCCAGGAACTGGCTGGGCCAGGCCTAGGGACCATGGCGGCACAGAGAAAGATGGTCCCCATCGAGCAAACCCTACCCCGTCCCCATGGGTTTTATCCCCCAGGAACTCAGGCGCTGCTGTCACTACCGATTCCTTTTATTCATTGCTTTTGTACATACATGGTATAAAACCAAACCCTCCTCGTCCACCGCCTGCACCAGGCCAGCCCCCAGCATGAGGGCTCATGAGGGGTCCCTGGCATTGCTCCCACAGGAGACAGGCCCACGCTGGCATCCCCGGGATGTGCCATGGGCACCCCTGCGACCCCCTGTGTGGAGGGGCAGGCATTTGGGATGGAGCCGAGGGGGGGGAGCGAACCCCCCCATGGCACAAGGCTGAAGGTTCTCGCTCTGCACAAAGTCCCCAAGAAACCTGGGCAGCCGGAGCCACCCATGGTCCCTGGCTGAGCTCCAGAGACAGGCCCACGCTGGCATCCCCGGGATGTGCCATGGGCACCCCTGCGACCCCCTGTGTGGAGGGGCAGGCATTTGGGATGGATCCGAGGGGTGGGAGCGAACCCCCCCATGGCACAAGGCTGAAGGTTCTCGCTCTGCACAAAGTCCCCAAGAAACCTGGGCAGCCGGAGCCACCCATGGTCCCTGGCTGAGCTCCAGGGCCTCAAGGGAAATCTCCCCTCCGTTACAACCAAAAGCGAGAGTAAAGAAAGTTAAGTACAAATCAGAGAGCAGTAAAAACCGTACGGTGGGGAAAAGAAAAATATATATATATATTACTAAAGGGGCTAAAACTTTGAAGCCTCATCTTGTTGGATCCTATATTGCTTTACACGGGCAGGGCGAGGGGGAAAAGAAAAGAGCTAATATCCAAAGTCCAACGGAAAGAACCGAAATGGAGTCTGTTTTCCTCTCCTGGGATGTGCTGAGCTTTCCAGGGGCTGAGGCACAGGGGCTGCCCGGTGCTGGGGACACAGCTTTGTCC